CAACTAGTTTCTCAGCAAAGATTTGCTTCCCACAAGTTCTAAAATGATCTTAAACACTGCAACAGATGCTCCCTGAAATGGGCAGACCTAAGGGGCAGGACCACTGGGCAGCCCCCCGGTCAGACCCATGTTCTGGTCCACCCCTAAAGTCCTCTTGAGCCAACCTCAGGAGCAAGTGTGAGTTGCTGTCATCCTCAGTATCATGTTTTGTTACTCATCAGTGAAGATACTATTGATATTTTTAAAAAGCATATTCAGTGAGGGACATTATAGAATATTGTTATATTTAAAGAAAATATTTTCTTACAAGTGTTATGACAGACTAGACAATGTGAGTCATTAAGAGTAGAGGATAATTGATAACTTTTCCAATAGGCCAAGTGTCAGTTTTCAAAATATTGAACTAGGACCTCAGCTCAGAGAGAATGAATAAAGGACCAAATATAGTGGAGAAAACGGGGAGGAGTTCTCTGTCAAGTAGGAGGAGATGTAACCTTTGTGGGTTATTAGGAAAGACATTTGAAGCCACATATAAAGGTTCCTCTGCATTCCTTCCTGTATAGATCGGGAGAGTCCAACCCAGTTTGGTATTCCTGCATTTCACTGTTCACAGTGCTTACAGTGACATGTCGGAGTCACACACCAGTTGTGTCTCCACCTCTGCTTGTCTTCTGCCTTATCATGAGGTCGACTCAACCAAATGGTTCTGTGGTCCTCAATTGTTGATTCATTTGGGAAAAAAAATGTTACTATATTATAAAAATATTTATTTTGGAGTCATGACAAATATTTTTCAGAGAATTTAGAAAAGCTGAGTTTTGTCTGATGATTAATGAGTAGAGTAGTGGAGTTTTTTGTTTTTTGTTTGGTTGGTTGGTTTTTGGTTTTTGGTTATTTTGTAGACTAAGTTCAGGATAACATTTACAAAAACTATCTGCATGTGAAAAAGGTATAATATTGTGGGTCTCACTCTGCTCCAAATAGAATTCAAATATTTTGGGGGGGTTGTGCTTTTCATTGGTTTATTCATTCATTTACATATTATGGGACTATAGATTTTTGTTTTCCTGTTCATAAGTTTTTACCACGTGGAGTTACACGTTTCAGTTTTGTTTGTAAGAGCTGATATTGACAAAGATGTGTAAGGTGTGTGGTGTTTGTGTGTGTGTGTGTGTATGTATGTATGTGCCTCTATGGGGACACCTGAGTTAGCTTAAAAATCTCCTTGCTATTTCTAAGTTACTACACTTTTCTTCTTTGGTAAGCATTCTTCTTCATCAAGGGGAGAGAGCAGCTTTTCACTAGCAGCATGGATTTGATTCCACCTATTAAGAGTAGTCGGATGGTCATAGTCCCACAGATGAACTGTCTGAGTATATCCGGTAACTGTGCATCCATTTGAACATTCCAAAGTTGGTCATCACTTGTAACCACAGATGCTTGCATTCACCTTGCAAGGACACAGTTTAGACTCCAAGAAATTTTCTGCTTGTGCATTTTGGCAGTGATTACTAGCCTGGTGATTGAACCAGCTGGGAAAAAATTGTCAGTGATGGGGAAAAGGTAAAGTTGAGGGCAACTGGAAAAGGATTTGTGGTGTGTGTGTGTGTGTGTGTGTGTGTGTGTGTGTGTGTGTGTTAGAGCAGGGTTAGTAATAGAAAAGTTATGTGATCCTTGAATGATAGGTGAAATAAGCAGTATGAAGCTTCTACTTTTAAACTCTTCTGTGTCAGTAACAGAGATCAACCAATACCACCATCATCCAAAAATGCCACCTGAGAGTCTGGGGTAAAGCTCATATACAGGATTAAGGTGTGMTTTATATTGAAAGTAATTTCTGGGGGGGTGTCCCCTACCTGGAAAACCACAGGGGCATTATATCACCCTGCTATGAAGACAGCAGTCGCTTGACAAGAATTATTTAATGAATCTTAAAGACTGGTTCTATGAGTGGGATTCCTGAAGGTGAGATAGAGATGTAGAGAAACTTTGACTGAAGATGGATTACTAATATTCCTACAGTCATCTGGGTGTCCCCTGAGGTTTCACACTGCCATTATCAGTAGCCACTGGAGAGTCACCAGCGATGGATGCAGGAGCCGAGATGGAGGCAGTGTTAGGAGAATGGTGTTGAGACTGAGTTGTGGAACACGTTCATATCARCTTAAAAATAATTTGTCTGTCTTCACACTTGTCTGAGGACTCACTTATGCTGCTGTGGGTTGTTGCATTTACTGTTGTTTACGTAGTGCAAGAAAGGACTCCTCTGGTAAGTCAAAAAGTGCGTTGATGGGAACCAGGGTGAGAGTGATCAGGTGAGAGCTGGCTGCAGGATCCCTGTCCTGAAGTTCCTCTCTGCAGAGAGTCTTGATGTCCTTGCCACCCAGGGCAACAGTCTACCTCTCAGACAGAAGCTCATTKTGGCGAGGGGCGACTTGGACCTTGTATGAGCCTGCCCGTTTTCATAATCCTGGTGCTGGGAGAAAGCTGGCTAGATGAGACCAGGCAACGTCCTTAGCTTTTCCAAATCTATAAGTAGCATCGTGTGGGTAGTTTTGAATATTAAATGAAATGCTGTGCTGTCCACAGCAGCTCTTGGGCTGGCTATGGGATATGTTGCTGAGAGATYGAAGACAGTACCCTGAGATGGCATGGGGAACACAGGGTTTATTGACACCTACAAACAGGCTACCAGCTACTGCTGCCTGTAACCACCAGCTACATGGGTAGTGCTCTGACTCCTGTCACTACTACGGAGGGAGGACCTTTACAGTCTAATGTATGTATGAATTGATGACATGGTTAGTTTTGACCATGGTTAGTTATTTGACCAGCATTCCAGGGAGCAATTGCCTTTAGGATAACTTCAGAAAAGAACACTTCTCACAGATGATATTTGCTTCCAGATTCCCAGTACACATTTCTTAGTATCCCTTAGGTAATACTAACAGGACATTCCATCCTGGGTCCACATTCACTGTCCTCTTGACTTGATTAGAGTTTTGGGAATGGAATAGGATATGCCAGGGACATGGTATTTGTTCTAGTGAGCTTTTTCACTGCTATGACTAAAAGACCTAGCCAGAATAATTGTAGAGGAGGAAAATTGTAGAGGAGGAAAAGCTTATTTGAGGGCTTATAGTCTCAGAGTTTTCAGTCCATAGACAGCTAGCTGCATTTCTTGGGGCTCAAGATGAGGCAGAACATCATGGCAGAAGAGTGTAGAGAAGGGAAGGAGCTCACATGATGATCAGAAAGCACAGAGAGACTCCACTTGCCAGATACAAAATATATACCCCAAAGGGCACATCCTTAAGGATCTACCTCCTCCTCCAGCCACATCYTCCCCAGTGACTACTCAGTTAATCCCACAGGGGATTAATTCACTGATGGAGTTAAGGCTCTCATAGCCCAATCATTTTTCCTCTAAACCTTCCTACATTGTCTCATGCATGAGCTTTGGGGGGAACATCTATCTCACATCCAAACCATAACAGAATTGGATGTCCCTCTCTTTTCCAAGGATCATGTTATACTATATAAAGAATAGTAAGAATAGAGCCTGACACCTAGTTAAGTTCTCATGACCCAATCTATAACAATTCTCAAGTTTCTTTCTTCTTAAATTGGAGAAAGACACATCTATAATAGTAATCCTGATAAAGACTTAAGGAAATTAATTCACAGCACTTCAAGAATATGACTACCCTCTATGTCAAGCAGATACTCTGCAAGACAATCCACCAGATGACTCCACCCTGAGAAGTTTATAACTCTTGACAGAAACTTATTATTTTATTATTTAGTTCTGACTCAAAATCACAGAAACCAAGGGACACATTGGGTATTTAAGTATCCTGAAGCAGAGTATAAATACAACAGTTACAGTGGAGTGGGAAAGTCACAGAGATCCATGGTGCCAAAATCTGTGTCTTCCATGGATACCAGGGAAGAAAATGTGCCCACACTTGCCTAAGTGGTTTTCCATATTTTATATTTTTAGAACCTCATCTTTTGAAAAATGCAAATGGAGTCTGTAGGGCACTGAAAAGCCTTGTTATTTGGTAAATCGGGTTTTTACATTCATATTAACAAAAGTCCTGGATGATGGCAGTTACAGGAGATGAAAGATTGTTGAAATGACAGATTGAGTAGTGTGTTTCTCAGGTTATGGAGTTCAGGAAAATGTGTAATTATTTCTGAGTTTCCTAAGGTTCCTCTGTTCAACATAATGTTCCGACATACAGCAGGGACAGTTTCAGATAGAAAATGCAAATCAGTAGGTGCTGCCCCTGCTGCCAAGGCTGGGGTTAATCATGCAAATCTAATGCAGTTCTTGGTATTTCAAGAAAGGTTTTAGTTGAAGTCCCATGCACGTATTGATTTAAAATTCCTACTTTAGAGAGCAGTGTAATTTTTTTTTTTTTAGCTTCAAATTCTAAAATACAGAACAGGATTTGGAGACAGATTTAGTAACTGGACATCCATCCACATTGGTTAATCATGGAAAGGGGTGTGTGTGGGTGTGGGGTTGGGAAGGGAGACAGGGACCCATAAAGAATGTGGGGTTTTCTAAAAAGCATATTAAATGATGCCTTAGAATTGAATTGACCAMTGTTCTCTAGAAAAATCCCTTTGCTTGGAATAGGGATCAACCAGTTATACATGTTTACTGAATGTCTGCTGTGTTCAAAGAAGATGGCTAAAACTGGCAAGGACAGATCAAATAAAAAATAACACTACAACAAGTTCTGTGGGAATGCTATAAAATACCTTTGGAAATGAGACTGTTTACAGGAAGAAATGAAATTGTCTTGCTCTCAAGTGCAAGATGACMCATTCTAATAGCCTTTCTGCTGTGCACAATAAGCGTTCAGCTTATCTTTCCAAGAACAATAAAATTTCATGTACAGCTGCCTGACATAAGAATTATTTTTACATATCTCCATATCGCTGACTCTCTTGTAAGTTAATCTCATCTCACATGAATTTTTCACCAGCTTCACTCTGATGTTGATAAAGGAGATGGTTCCATCAAATACATCTTGTCAGGCGAAGGGGCAAGTTCCATTTTCATTATTGATGAGAACACTGGGGATATTCATGCTACCAAGAGACTCGATCGTGAGGAGCAGGCCTACTACACTCTCCGAGCTCAAGCGCTGGACAGGCTCACCAACAAACCCGTGGAGCCCGAATCAGAGTTTGTCATCAAAATCCAGGATATCAATGACAATGAACCCAAGTTTTTGGATGGGCCTTACACAGCAGGAGTTCCTGAAATGTCTCCTGTAGGTAAGTGAAGACTATACTGTTTTGCTGTGTGGTGTTAGGAAGTTTGTCTTTAAAACTAAGTTGTTATTAGGTACAGAGAAAAAAGCACATTAGTGTATGTAGGACAATCATCAGTTGCAATGAAGGGAAAAATTGAGTCATGCTAGTAACCAGAAATTCATCATTCTATACATTATTTTATTTGTATGGAATATTAGGAAGTACTGTTTACACTTTTGAATTTTACAGATTTCATTTTACATAGCCATCTCTGTGTCTTTAAGAACTACTTAGGGGTTATAGTTCCTTTTTCATTTAATGTTAATTTATTTTAAAAATGCAATTAAAATTATGCTTAAGAAGTTAAAAGCAAAATCCTTGCGGACACAGCACCATAACACTTGTGTGGTGATAGGACAGGGTTCACTGACCAGACTGTGACTCCCTCAGGGGCTGCCCAGGCTCACACTTGGATCAGCCATCTGTAGTGCCTGTGTGTGGTGCCTGTGGTTGGACCCTCATATACCGTCSTGTGACACCGCTAACTCATCTTAGTTTCTCCAAGTGAAAATTGAATAGTGAGTATATAATAATGATAAAATGATCTTCAGCTAGAGATACATAGAAGAACAATGAAGGCTGTGGCAAAGGCCTTTTGGAAAAGTAGCAAGTAAAGGGCTTCCAGCATGTACTCTATAGCAAATAGTATAAATTCTGGCTTAAATTCCCATTATTCAGCTACTTGTGGAATTGGTTTCAGCAAGGTGTCATTTAAGTGTGGACAATCTTACAAATAAAAAAAAAATGAAAMTGGACAAAAGGCCAGTAGAGTTATATCTGTCTTCTTGTTTGGGGTATTTAAGGAGGATGTTTATTTAATATGTTACAGGAGCTTGTAACACATTTTAGCCAATGTGATCCTTTTTGTTCTTTAAAGAGGTCATTTCATTCACTCACTCATTCAGAGGACACATCAACTATACAATGGGGACAGAGATTGCATAGATGTTCTGTGTTTTCTTTGAGGGTCATGATTTAGTGGTTCTAAATTTCTATTCTTGTCAGAAAGGGAAGATTTTTTTCAGGCACCCCAGCTCCAGCTGCTAGAGGAATGAGAAAGAAGAATCGTCCTGAGAAATTCTGAACCACAGAGGCAGAATCTCACCAGAGCTAGCACATGTAGAAGCATTTCAGTGCCCAAACCATACTTTAAAGAGATTCCTGCCCACTGTTTGTTTACAGCAGCAGCAACAGGAGTGGCAGTAGGATTCCAGGGGTTTTGGAGTAAAGAGAACCACATTTTCTCAGATTAGTAATGTCTAGGAAGACAGAAAAGTTTGAGAGTTTGAGGGATGTGACTCAGCTTAGCAGTTCTAGTTCTTTGAGGCATTTTTGGTGTTAGTGGCTTACTGAGATTTTCTTCTCCTTATAGAATACAGCTGTGTACATTCAGGGTATGTGAACTTCTGTGTTAGAAGCTGCCTTCTGGTTTTGATTATGATGGCCTATTTTACTATCAAATGGCATGCTTATTACACACAGAGACAAGTTATTTTATTTACTTGCTTGAGTCAAAGAAGTTCCACCCTTTGTAGAAGATTATTTTCAAACATCTTTAGAATTCACTTGAAAACCAATTTAAATTACTGGATTAAYATGAAAATTCAAACACAGAATAATGGATACCAACATTAAATATGTTTTATAAATGTATAACAAGTCATAATTTAATGCAGTTTCTAATTCTCACTAAGCATTTATAGCAGCCACTAAGTGGTATGGTTTGTACAATACAAACTTTTAGAGCTTAATCAGAAATATATTAATTAGATATTAACTAATTATATATTTTTAAAAAACACTAATAAGCCCMTAGCACAGTTCGGTCTTTTCCAGAAGAGCTTATATAAATATGGAAAGTATATTTGTTTGCAAATATTTGTGAATGTGTATGTTTGCTTGTGTTTATTAAATATAATCTATCATGTATTATGTATCAAATTAATTAAAATTTCAGAAATAAATGTATTATTATTCTAAGCACGGTTTACTGAAGTTCAGGTTTTCATTACTTTGTTTAAAATTGTTTATTGAATTTTTAAAAATGCTGCCATACACATAACTAAATAGATTCTATACAATTTGAAACAAAATAGATAAGGTAAATTATAATATGAAAAAATGGAGTGTATTTGTAAAAATGAGCATTAATGACTTTTATAAAGCATTTTAAAAGACAACTGTGAGAAACACATTTAAAGAAGATGAAATATTTAAATTCTGTATTTTAGAAATTATCAGCAACAAAACCCTTAAAGAATACATAAAGGCCCTTTTCCTTCTCTGTCATGTATAGATTATATAACAATCTATACATRAAGATATAAACTAAGTAAGTGTGTGTCTCTCTAAAATTTTGAAAGTTGCTTTCCAAGTGGGAAAAAAAGGAACAGTTCAGAATAAATGCTCTTCATATTACATTAGTTACAGCATGAAAAAATGAAGAAACTTGACATTCAATATGGAAAAACAACTAGTAATGCCACTTTCAAGTTACCATGCATTTCCTTTTTGGAAGAGTTCTGGTAGTTTTTAAGTTGAATGTTTTGTTTTAAAATCTCTTAGTAAAAACAATTTAAAATAAAACAATTATCAAGGAGATAAGGTAGCCATATAATATCCAATTAAATCTATCAAACATTCTTTGTGTAATTAATGAAAGTGTGGTTTCTGTTGACTCTACCCACTTACATCRTTAAGGTATCCACAAAGATTCCAGCATCTATCAACATCTCAGACTGCCTTTTGGACAGCAATTGAAACTAGTAGAGTTTGTTCTGGATGGAAACTTGCTACCTGCCCTTAATGGATAAGATGCGTACAATTACAGCCCCATTTGTTCTTGCTTTCCCATGGTAACATGCATCCTCAATGGTATTTTTATGCCAGACTATTTTCATATCCCTTCATGATTTCAAAGTTTTTATTAGTATTTATTATCTCTCTAGGTTTATATTAATAAAAAAATCAATGTTTCACATGACTTGAAAGAGGATGAATTAAAAATTACAAATAAATCTCTACACCATTTGACCCAGCAATCCCTCTCCTGGGTCTATACCCAAAGGACTTAAAAACAGCATACTACAGGGACACAGGGACATCRTTGTTTATAGCAGCACAATTCACAATAGCTAAATGGTGGAGCCAACTTAGATGCCCTTCAATAGATGAATAGATTTTAAAAACTCGGCATATATACACAATGGAATATACTCAGCAGTAAAAGAGAATAAAATCATGGCATTTGCAGGTCAGTGGATGGAGTTAGAGAAGATAATGCTAAGTTAGAGAAGATAATCCCAAAAAACCAAATGCTGAATGTTTTCTTTGGTRTAAGGAGGCTGGTTCATAGTGGGTTAGGGACGGGGAAGATGGGCGGAATAGACAAATTCCATATAAGGCAAAGAGGTGGGAGGGGAAGGGAGGGGCATGGGGTTATAAATGATGGTGGAATGTGAGGATCATTATTATCCAAAGTACAGGTATGAAGACACGAATTGGGTGAATATACTATGTATACAACCAGAGATATGAGAAATTGTGCTCTATATGTGTAATAAGAATTGTAATGCATTCCGCTGTCAAAAATAAATAAAAATTTTAAAAAAATTTAAAAAATACAAATAAACTTAACGTAGAATCTGCAATATTTTGTGAGTTTTTCTGTGTTGCTGCATATGACAGTTTTTAATCTGAGTGTTTCTGGATTGTCACTTAGGGACTTCAGTGGTACAAGTGACAGCAACGGATGCTGATGACCCTACATATGGGAACAGCGCCCGAGTGGTCTACAGTATTCTGCAGGGGCAGCCGTACTTTTCCGTTGAGCCCAAGACAGGTAAAAACTGAAACTTAGCACAATTTTTGGTTATCATTTATATCATGGCTTAGAATTAACATAAGCTGTTTTTATTAAATAGGGTTGATTATAGACACTATATTATGTTTTTCCAAATATATTGACTTTGATTTAAAAAGTAGAATATTATTCATAAAGGAGTTATAGCCTTTTCAAGAATAGTTTGTGATGTTTATCTGAATTCCGTGAAAAATAAAACAAATGCTATTTATTCAAAAGTATTTCAATTGCTATCTGCTGTGTATAAGAAAATTTTGATTATTTAAATTTAAGTGTATTCTTGTTTGTTTCCTTTGGTTAATTCACATTGGGTTATTATATGCAGTAAAATTAAAAACTCAAGCAGAAAGATCTCTGCCCAGCAATTGAACAGATAGTAAGTAAGTTCAGTTTGTCATTCTAGAGGCTGGTTTTCTCCGGGAAATTAGTTGAAACAATTAGTTGATCTGATAAATGAAATTAATTTTTCTTTTTAGCTTTAGAGAAACTTTTTTTGATGAGGTGAGAAATTGCATGACTAGAACATTTATGTGACTGGTTTATTATGTTTTGCTTTAAGCTGAAATAGTTTTTATTAAATAAGACTATAACAAGAGGGGTTGTTATCTCAGTTATAAAATTATTATTTAGTGTGTTAGGATATCTGATTCTGTGGAAAGATARTTGTCCATATTGTTGGTTTGTGCCATTGATTATTTTTATAACCATGAAAATGTGGAAATTCTCTACTTTTAGAAAAAAAAATGTAGTTGTGGATGGGCAGAATGACTTTATTTTATCTATTTATTTTTATGTGGTGCTGAGGATGGAACCCAGTGCCTCACGCATTGATAGGCAAGCACTCTGCCACTGAGCTACAGCCTCAGCCCTAGGAATTCACTGTTATAAACAATTCTGCCTTTACAATGGAGTAGAATCTTTACATATCTAAATTTATGGTAATAAATATTAATAGTACCTATGATTCTAAATGAATATTTTAATGGAACTGATCCTGTCTTGTATATTTACAAAAATAGCAATATTAATTCATTCTCAAATCTCTACATGGGGAAATAATTTAAACATCTTTTGGAAATAACATGAACAGAGAGGTAAATTTATTTCTGGCCCATTCATTGGAGCTTTTATAAAGACTACAATGCATGTTTTATACCAGTATAATGGCATAGTTTGGGAACCTCCTGGAAAGTCTAAGAGGGGAGAAACATTTATAGTTAAGCAAGTATTCTAGGAAAAGTAATGAAAGTACTGAATTCATGATAGGAATTCGGTGAATATAGAAAGAGTGCTGATGTTTGACTCAATGATGGATCTTAGAAACCTCAATTTGAACACCTACCCCTTCCCTTATATATCTGCTTTTTTTCCAATCTAGAAAGACATTGACAAGTTTCTGACAATTTTCTCACAAATTATATACTCTTTCATTATGTAACCATCCCCAAAATAGCATGTACTAATCCCAAGGGTTAAATATTTTCCTGCTACTAATGAATGGCTTGGGATTTTTAGTTCTGCTGTAAGATGACAGAATTTTCCAGTAGTCCTATGAGATAAATACCTCACCAATTAATAATCAACAGAACAATATCACATGCCATGATATCAGTCCTTAAGTAAGTAAACTCAATTTTAGTTTCAGAATCCAAAGAAATTCCTTTTACAGAAGAAGAAGAAAGTCTATTTTTAATGTAGCAATCATGGTAATCATTGGGATTTCTCTTTTTACGGTCATTAATACAGAGATATTGTGAGCATTTTTGCCCTCTCAGCTAATTCATGCTACACAGAAGGCACTTTTTYTGGGGAAAAAAAGTTGCATCTTTTTTATGACAAAAATGGAAATTTTTCAGTCCTTTAGGGCATGGAGAGCTGTAAATCAAATTTTAGTTAGCCTTCCGTATGGGGTGTCAATCTGCTTCTTATCTATGTGAGAAATAACATTATTTTCCACTTCTCAAAACCTAAGGGTTTKGGAAAAGAAAGTTAATTTTTGACAGGAAAAATGTTGAATATATGCTAAATAAAGATTGTCAAAAATAGGCCCAGGCAATACCTTCCCATAAGTTTGTTTAACTGTTAAGAAGAAAGTAGCAAGTACTTAAGACCTCAGTGCATTATTCCACCCGAAGCTGTGCTCACTGGCCCTGTGACTAGGAGTCAATTGTATTTTTCACTTTAATTTTTTCCTTTGCAAAACCAGAATTTAAGTAGCTGCAAAATTGTTAACAGTATTGACAACTTACTTTTATAAGCCAATAAAATGGTACCAGAAACAAGATACTGCAGTACTGCAAAGATCAGGATTCTTATCCCTGCCTGCATGATGTTCACTAAGTGATTGGGAGACAGCACTGTTGCAAGGTCCATTTATTCTGCCACCTGTGAAACAATAGATCCCACATGTGGTTCTGTTTGATCATGTGGCGGGACTGGTGAAATAATCTTCAGCCGACAATGAAAAGCAGACACCTTGCTTTAAACATTTTAAGGATTGAAATGTCCTCAGCAGAACTTTAAACCAAGCTTGGGGTGAGTTTGACAGATCAGACCCTAGAGTCCTGAAGCCAGCTCTGGAAGAAGGATGGACTGTTGAACATCACTCGTTATTTAGAAGTCCTTTCTTAAACATGTGATTGGGGACTGTGTGGTTCCCCAGTTATCCCTTGCATATCACTTGCTTTATCATAGTTTTATGTGAGTAGTATCATCACCCAAAATCAACCCCCCGTTTCCAAATATGTCATTCACTCATATCCCATGCTGTGGGGTATCTTGGTATGGATGGGCCTCAGCTTGTATCAAAGTTTGCCGAGGTCACCCCTCATGATTGTGAGAGAAGGCCCTCCTCGGTGACTCGTCATTAGGTTCCAGTTCTGCAATTCTGTTGACGGTTCTCTTGTCTTTTTATGACTTTGTTCTATGCTACACTAACTTATGTGCAAAGCAGATAATACAAAGGGTAATACAAAAAAAAATTAGAAAGAAATCAAAACTTTTTAGGAAGAGATTCATCATCAATCAAGTTTCAGATGATATATAATCAACCCAGGTGAACATACTCATTTACAAATATTTGCAAATAAATGTACTTTCCACATTTATATATGTTCTTCTGGTAAAGATTAAACTGTCCTAGGGGCTTATTAGTGTTTTTTAAAACATATGATTAGTTAATATCTAATTTAAATATTTCTGAATATTATGCACTGAAAGTTTGTATTGTACAAACCATACTATTTCATAGCTGGGGCTGTGTATTACACTTCATATTTGATAAAGTCTACAGATAACTATCAGTCATAAAAGTAGCATACTTATTTTATTGCTTAATTTAGTAAATTCATTTATAATTAGTGCTCTACTATTCACAATTTTTCATCGAAGGAGTATTTTTAAAAACAGAAAGCAGATCTTAAACATCTAGGTTCATTCTACTTTCTAAGTTCCTGTGAAAATTAATTTTCAAGATTCTTAAATGTTTATTTTTTTCAAAAGTTGACATTGCTTTGTCCAGAATCTATTTCATCATGCCTCAGTTTATACATTTGTAAGAAAAAATGTTGCTTGACCCCAGTCCATATTCATTTTTGTAAATCTACATATATGTAACAAGTTATTCTGAAGGTATTATTATGAGCATACATGTATTTATATATCTATATATAGACACACACACACACACACACACACACACACACACATATATATATATATAGGTATATTTATTTTTTCAATGCAAATGAAGTGTAAAAGATCTACCCAACAAGAATATTTGTCCTTCACATTCTCTAGATATCCTTTCTACTCTAAGGTTTTAGCTTTTATAATTTTTAAACATTCAGTGCTTATCAATAGGTCATATCACAGAATGAGTTGTTGGGTTTACTATGCTTAATGAAGTGTTCAAACAGGTGCTTTCCTCATGAAAGAAAGTAGCATGTAGGACTCTGAATGGATTTTTTWAAAATGACTGTTGTTACCCAATCAGAATGTGCATAGAGTAATGCTTCTCACCTATAATATAACAACTGATGGTTTTGTATTACAATTTGTAGATGTGTCTTTAATAGCAAATTGTTGTATTGCAGTACTTTCCTGGATATGTGCTATGTTTGTTAATGTCATGTAACATAACTCTTATTGACATAACATAAGGCCAAAGAGGCTAATGTTTGTAATGACCATCACTGGGCTATTTTAAAACCTCAATAATGAATGCTGAAAGAAATTGCATATAGTTAATAGATATACCTTCACCTTAATACCAGTTACATTTATTATCATCCACAGGTGCTCAGTCATACAAAAACTATCATCTTAAAAGTAGTTACCAAGAAACTGACATGATATCCAATAATTCCTATTAAAAGCAAACAGTCAAACAGCAAGTGATGTGGATTTTTCACAATCTTTTTTTTTTTTTTTTTTTTGGTACCAGGGATGGAACTCAGGGTCACTCAACCACTGAGTCATACCCCAGCCTGATTTTGCATTTTATTTAGAGCCAGGGTCTCATGAGTTGCTTAGTACCTCAAGAGGCTGGCTTTGAACTCTGGGTACTCCTGTCTCAGACTCCCTAGCCAATGGGATTMCAAGCGTGCACCACGGCTCCTGGCAGTTTTTCACAATTTGATGTTTGTGCATGGCCTCTTGTCCGTCTTGGTGGTGCTCTTGCAGGGGTTGACTCTTCACTTTTGACCAAGGCTGCACCAAATAGCTTCAGTTCATTCCTAGTGCTGACCTCTTGACATTCAACACCTACRGGACAGAAGCATGAGGAAGCTGATGCCTCTGTTCATGCTACAGTTCTGGAACTCTTGGCATGAGTATAGAGAATGAAGGTTGTATTGAAGAGAGTGGGGAACACAGATGGTTCTGGGAGTTGTGAGTGCAGATGGCCTAGGTTCTAGTTATAGTAAGGAAGTCTTCCTTGGTTAATTAGAYCCCTGAGAAAGCTGAGTTTTCAATACTAAGATTCTCTTTGAAATAWTAGTTCACTCAGGGTGGTATCCAAAAATGATGACTTAGCTCTAGTGAGGAAATTCCAATGGTTGAATCCCTACAGTTGGAGAACCCCTAGTCTTTGTTTGCTAGGCTCATGAGAAATCTGAGGCTAATGTCCTTGCCTGTGTATGCAGCATCTGGGCTCTGATGAGTGTTTTTCTAAACTGTGGCAGATTGCAGAAGTGGCTCTTGTCTATGTCTCACACTGAAAATTTCAGAAGATGCCATGGTAACAGAATAGGCCTTGAAAACCCATGAATGACTTATAGAACATTAGAGAACAATCAGAAATTTTCCTAGACTAAGAGGAAAAAAAAAATCCAGACAATTGTCAAACACTGTMAGTCTGTTTATGTTTTATATGCATTAACCTGGATCACAAGTAAGTGGAAATTTCCAAATTACTGAGTCAGATGATAAATCTATAGAAAACTTATTATTCAGAAAGCCTAAAATCGGAGCCAGTCTCTCMAGAAGAGCTAATGGATAGCTTTTTTTCTCATTAAAAAGAGTTTAAATTTACTGAAAATATTATTATTTGATTTTTTAATGTAATATTTATTAATGACATATTACAATATTTTTAACTTTCTTGAAAATCTCACAGATTATAGACATCCAGTTAGTCAAAACTCACATTTACCAGTTCAGAGACATTGTAATAATAMTTTTCTCTGTGTATGTGTATGTCTSTGTGTGTGTGTGTATCCATGTAATATATTACAAATGAAAATAAAATCTAATGTATAATTGTTTTCTGAATGTAGAAAGCTTGCACTTAATAGTAAAAGACAGAAAAATTCAYGTAACTAGAAATATAGAATTATTAAATGCCTTTATTTAAATTTGTATTTTCTCCATTATTTTATTATTGTTCAAACTGTGTTTAGTAGCCAAGGCATTTGGAAATTGCCTTTGCCACATGAATTAATCTGAAAACTTTAAGATGATTTTAGCTTTTGAAAATGTTATTTTTAGGGTCTCTTATAAAGATAAAATTAAAGGTGTGAAAAATAAGCAAATAACTTGGACTACCAGACTTCTATCCTAATGATGCTTTTTGTTCTTTAAAAAAATAGTGTCACCAAGCAAAACTAAAAGAGGCTGAGTCTATAGTGTTTGCTTCACTAGTTAGTTGAGATGCATAGATTTCTCTTCATCCTACGAAATTTTCAAAATAATAATTCACTGGCACATAATAGTATTGAAAGGAAAAATTGGGGATGAAGAGAAATTAAAAAAAACACTAAAATTATGAGTAGTACATGTTCAAAAATAATTCATCCTAGTATTTTTTCACAAAGATGTGGCAAGTACATTTATTGGTCAAGTAATGAAGATTATCAGTGTTTAATAGAAAACATTGTCTACACAAAGAACATGATTAACAGCATTAATTAATTAATTAATTGATTAAAAGAAGATAAAAGTTAAAGATAGAGYTCTGTAAGTGTTAGAGTCTGTAAACAAGTCAAGATGGTGCCTGGCATTTTGCCAGAGGGAGTGGTTTGTGAAGTAACCTCAGCGAGCTWTTAAGTGTGGAGATTCCTTATTGGTTGACTGCTGTATCTAGTTTATGTTAATTAGATAAGCTGTGTGGAATGTATATATACCCCTCCTGTCCTACARTAAACGGCTCCCACTCCTGCTGTATCAATGTACACAAGTTGCTCATTACCTCCCAGTTGTTTTGCTGCAGCCGGACTGCAGCAGTAAGTTCTAGAATTACAGAACGTTAAAAAAAAAAAAAAAACACTAAAATTATGAGTAGTACATGTTCAAAAATAATTCATCCTAGTATTTTTTCACAAAGATGTGGCAAGTACATTTATTGGTAAAGACTGTGTGTTTGGAGATATTGGAGTTTTGTTTTGCCATAGAGTTAGAAATATTGAAGAAGGAACAGGAAATATCCCCAGGATTATTAGCAYACAGATAAGAATATTTATGAACTAAAAACTTGTCCCTGGGACTTAGAGATTATACATCTATRTTGTTTTCATTTTAATTGTGATATTTCAAAGATTAATTGTAAGTAGTGCATAGATTGTCACAAGATTCAAAGGAGGTAGCTAAAGTCATTGTGTATTGCTGTGTTTAAAGCAACAGACCAAAAATATACTTGTGTATTTGAGTAAGTAACTGTCCAAAAACTTCAACTTGCTCAAATAAGTGTAACTTAAATGCTTAAAATATCAATGTGTTGCTGGTGTGTGTGTGTGTGTGTGTGTGTGTGTGTGTGTGTGTGTTTGATAGTGCTCAGACCTAAATAAGATATGGTTGCTTAAGATAAGAATGTTATTTAACTTGGAATCTTGGTAATTGATAATATTTTTTTGTAAATTATTCTAAGTTTTCACAAGGGATAAAATAGAAGGATAGAATAAGTTCACTGCTATGTACTTGAGTAGATAACTTCTCATTATTCTACATAGAGACCCATTTTGTATATTTTAATTGTTATTTTCTTAACTATTTTCATGAAAATTAGATAATTCTCTGCATCTGATATTGAAAAGACTGCATTTTTTCTTTTTTTATATTGTATGTATCTGAAATATTTCTTTGGTATTTAGTGTACATTAAAATGGTTAAAGTAAACAGAATGGAAAAGGAACAGCCAAAGAATGACTAGCTCCTTGTGTCATTGCTCGTTGTTGTTAGTATACGTGTGGTACAATTCATCATGCATTTTACTGGGATTTGAAATCTTACAGGAGTCATCAAGACTGCCCTTCCAAACATGGATAGAGAGGCTAAAGACCAGTATTTGCTTGTCATTCAGGCAAAGGATATGGTTGGTCAAAATGGCGGACTGTCAGGAACTACATCAGTCACCGTGACCCTGACTGATGTCAATGATAATCCACCTCGTTTTCCTCGAAGTAAGCCACTGTTTTTTGACTAAATTTCCTTGTAAG